TGAGAAACTGCCATAGCATAAGAGAGATCTTCTGCCTCTTTGAGGCAATGAATTTCTCGCTCATTTAAGTAGACCTGGCAATGGCGAGAGTACGAAGGGTGAGCCTCATGACAATTAAGGCAAGAGGGAGGTCGACTGCAAGACGTATTAGAATGGTCATCGGCACCACAGACTGGGCATTCGGCTATAGATCTGCAATATTTCGCTGGGTGGCCAAATCGCCAGCAATTTCTACACTGTTGCAGTGTAGGGATCACCTTTCGAACTTGTAACCAATGTCTTGCTATGCTACAAAAACAGAGGATGGGAGTTCACGGCTGTCAAAAGTTAAACGAGGCACATTGCAAGGGTATCGTCTCCGCCCGTGGGCAGGAAAAACATAAGTGTCTACCTTGAGAATTGGGAGATCTTGGAGTTCCAGCTGTTCGAGAATGTCATTGCCACATGTCTGGAAATTCTGTTGGACAATGGTATGGGGCAGAATGACAGTACCACTACAAGAATTGAGGGAATGATGTTTTTCGATAGTGATAGGAATAGTATCGACATGTGAAAGAAGAGAAAGATCATGAGCTTGGGTAGCATTCTGGACTGTGATGATGTGCATACCACTCTTTAGAGCATGAAAGGAAATATCTCTACCAGCATGGCAGAGGAGCACCTTGCCAATACTATGGTCAGAAAGATAGGCAGTAGAGGAAGTTGGTCGCAAAGTAAAGAAACTGAGCATGTAAAGGGAGAGTACAACATGTCGGTCTTTTCTGAGTAGAACGAGAAGGTGGCAAAGAAGTATCATCGGGCAATTGTCATTGGCGTTTAGAAGTGGGACTGGAGTTGGTCCGTGGGACGGGCTGGCGACTCGAAAATTTCCGCACCATAGAGGGAGAGGCCGGAAGCATAGTCAAAGGAGAGTGGAGGTCAGACAAATCGAAGGAGTCAGTCGAAACCCCGGCACCTGAAGCGGGTGATGAAACAGCACCAGCAAGAGGTACAGGGGCTTTAGGAGTGTCTGGAGAGTGGTGAAAAGACGAGGCGAGGTCAGAACAGGGTGCGGTAACAAGAAGGGGCCCGGGGGTAGTGGGGTCATGGATTGGGAACTCCATGGCTAGGTTACTTCTTTCTTTTGTTTTTAAGAAAAAGAAGAAAGAAAAAAAGAAAAGAAAAATAAATAAAGAATAAAAAAAGGGGGGACCAGGGAGGGATAGTCCTAGGAGGAATGAAAGGGCCAGAAATCTCCCTCCGCGCCCAAGAGGACCTCAGCACCACAAGTAGCGCAGATGCAGCATGGATCCCGTGCCATACCCTACCCTTCATGCCAGTAAACCAGCAATCCGGGATAGCAACCTCACATCTGCCGAGCTACCTCGGTGGACAAAAGAGAGGGCGGCAGGATATCCACCACAAAGCATACCTCCTTCAGCCACCACCCCCAGAATCAGAAAGGTGGCTTCCAGAGATACACCCACCGCCTGAAAGACACCCAAAGCCGCCCTCCGGGATACTGGAGAGGGATCGAGACATCCCAGGCAATCCAGATTCCATGGCAAACTACGCCACCGCCAAGAACCTCAATGGAATGGGATGGACCCCGGTACCCTTTTCCCTACCTAGGAACTAGCGCGCCTGTGGGAAAAATCCCAAAGGCCAAAAAGAGAAAGAGCAAAAGGAAGGGGTGGAGAGGAGGAGGAGGAGGAAAGGAAAAAGGGGAGGATGGGGAGGAGGAGATAGGGAAAGGGGGATTGGGGGGTAATTAGGCTCGGTCTGAGGAAGGAGACCGACAGGTCACAGAAACCATGCTCACAGAAATGATAACAGATGCCTTCAGGATATTAGATCATGAGCAAAGACAGAGGGAACAGAGGAGGAGGAGGAGTGGCACTGCTCATAAAAACAACAATGGATTTTGATGAGCTGGAGAGAGGAGACAGAGAAGCAACAGATTACATAATAGGAACACTTCAGTCTGGACTTCCCAAGGTTGTAACTGCAGTGATGTACAACCCACAGCAGAACAGCAGGAGGCCAAGGCAGGAGTATGATGAGAGTAATAGTGATGGTTGACACACTGGCTGAAGTGGCCAGAAGGGCTTACGTGTGAAGGGCAAAGCTGCTGATTGTGGGTGACTTCAATCACAAGGAAATTGACTGGGAGAACCTGAAACCACATGGTGGCCCAGAAACGTGGAGGACTAAGATGATGGGAGTGGTACTGGAAAACCTTATGTACCAACACGTTAGGGACACTACCAGAGAGAGAGAGAGGAGAGGATGAACCAGCAAGACTGGACCTAGTATTCACCTTGAGAAGTGCAGACACTGAGTTCTATGACAAGGTGACAGCAGTAAAACAAGAGAGAGAGGGGTTGGGAGATTGCATTTTCTTCGACTGTAGGAAGGCGTTTGCCACAGTTCCACACAGGAGGTTAGTGCAGAGACTGGAGGACCAGGCAGGGTTAACAGGGAAAGCACAGCAATGGATTAGGGAATACCTGTTAGAAAGACAACAGCGAGTCATGGCATGTGGCGGGGTGTCAGAGTGGGCACCTGTGACGAGCGGGGTTCCAAAGGGGTCAGTCCTAGGACCGGTGCTCTTTCTGGTATTTGTGAACGATATGATAGAAGGAATAGACTCAGAAGTGTCCCTGTTTGCAGATGACGTGAAGTTGATGAAAAGAATTCAATCGAATGAAGACCAGGCATAACTACAAAGGGATCTGGACAACCTGAAGACCTGGTCCAGCAACTGACTCCTGGAGTTTAACCCCACTAAGTGCAAAGTCATGAAGATTGGGGAAGGATAAAGAAGACCGCAGACGAAGTATAGTCTAGGGGGCCAGAGACTACAAACCTCACTTAAGGAAAAGGATCTTGGAGTGAGTATAACACCGAGCACATCTCTTGAGGCGCACATCAACGAAATAACTGCTGCAGCATACGGGCGCCTAGCATACCTAACAACAGCATTCCGATATCTGAATAAGGAATCAATCAGGACACTGTACACCGTGTACGTTAGGCCTATATTGAAGTATACAGCTCCAGTTTGGAACTCGCACCTAGCCAAACAGATCAACCTGGGTGAAACATACGTGAGTATTTATAGGATGAGAATGCTGGGTCAGGTGGAGAAAGCTGCATGTGACAATCTTCCGAGGAGAGTGATAGAGTCTAAAACCTTCGGTAGCTTTTAAAAGAGATTGGATAAGTATATGAGTAGACCTTCTGCAGTGTTCCTCGATTCTTATGTTCTTATGTGGGATAGCGATGAAGAAGCTTCTCGGCAAGAGGTTCAGCTATGTTATAGAAGCCGTTGTTCTGGTTGAAATTGTTGGATGTACAGATTAGTGATGATTAGAGGATTCTTCGGTATTGAGTGTTGTCTTCTCTGGCCATAAGTCTTGCGTTTCTGTAGTTGATTAAATGGTTGTGTGAATTTCGGTGTTGAACACAGACATTCCTTGGATCGTCAAATCTACCTGCGTACTGGTGTTCTGAAATACGTGTTTGGAGGTCTCTGGATGTTTCGCCGACGTATAATTTGCTGCAGTCATTACAAGGGATTGTGTATACCCCTGCAGAGGATTGAAGCTTGTCCTGTCTATTACTGGTAATGTCTCTTTCACATTTGTTATGATCCTCCATACATTGATATCCCTACACCTTTGTCAGAGTGAAGGCATCGTAATTTACATCTCCAGGATTCAAGTCCGGCTAACCGGCTTCTCTGAATCCCTTCTTAACACTTCAGCATCATGGCAAACCATTACGGTGTCCCGTAGCTTGATCGCTAGCGCACTCAGCTCACACACTGAGGTCCGGACTTCGAGTCTCCGGTACGGCTGGAAAACATTAGGGACGTGTTTCCATAAGACACCTGCTGTCCCTGCTCACTCATCAGTATAAAATGTGCACCTGGGTGTTAGTTGACTGATGTGGGTCGCATCCTGGGACAAAACTGACCCAATTTGCCCGAAATGCTCAGCATAACAAGCGGCTTTCTATATAGTAGTATGTCATTGATGTTAGCTAGGTCTGTATACTTTGTACATTTACTTGTAGTAAATAAAGATATTATTATTTAAAAAAAACACTTTTCTCCTTCTGACGTGCACACACATGCCTGTTCGATGCTTAATTAAGCCCATAGAAGTCAAAACCAGTTATACATATATTTCCTTCAGCACTTGCTCTTATGCTTCCTTCCATCCACCTCCCATTTGTACACCTTTGTCATCCTAGTCTATCCACCACTCTCCAGTTTCTATACTCCGAATTTATTTCATAATGTTCACACCACACAGTCCTCAGATTTGACATCTCTACTGTTCCCAGTCTCCTCCTCGCTGCCGCAGACCTGCGTTACAGATTTTGTTTCCACAGATGCCTCAACACAACGCTCACCTTTTTCTTCCTTCTTCTTTTCAAGGCCCATCTGCTGCAAGGTCCACTTCAAGATATCAGTATACATTTATTCTCTCCATACATCATCTCTCTATTCTGATATTTGATCTTTCATTCCCTATCTTTTATTGATTCTTTCCAACCTTGCTCTTTTCTCTGTTCATTTAATTTCCTTCTTTTATACACCCTTCGAAAATCATCCACCAACCTTTGCAGTTCTTCAGAATCTTCCAAAAGAGCTACGTCATCAGCAAAGAGCAAATGTGACAGTTGTAACATCTCGTCAAATTCTTTATCCTTAACCCCCCGAAATCCCCCCGAAATCCCCCGAAATCCCCCCGAAATCCCCCGAAATCCCCCAAAATCATTCCGAAATCCCCCCAAATCCTAGTCTATAAAAATATTAAACAACCATGTTAACATTACACATCCCTGCTACTTAGTATTATTATTAATTTCATAGGAAAGAAATAAGCTAGAAATTGTTATTCACGACCTGGAAAATAAGAACTAATCACTTTTACATATATCTGGATCAAGATCTCGTCACCAAAATGAAAATAACCTTCGTGAGAGAACGAAGAGTTGAGATTACTCACATTTAACATTGAGGATGATGTGGGTGGAGACGCCCTGTCCTTCAGCGTTGGTCGCTCTGCAGGAGTAGCTGCCGGTGGAGGAACGTTTTACATTCACCAGTACAAAACTTATGTTGGTTACCATCACACCACCACCACTGCTGCTGTTGCTGCTGCTGTTGCTGCTGCTGCTGCTGCTGCTGCTGCTGCTGCTGCTGCTGCTGCTGCTGCTGCTGCTGCTGCTGTTGCTGCTGCTTCTGCTGCTGCTCCTGTTGTTGCCTCCGCTGCTGCTGCTGCTGTTGCTGTTGCTAATACTGTTGCTGCTGTTGGTACTGTTGTTGTTGGTGCTGCTGCTGATCCACCTTGTCTTTCCTGTAAGGTCCTCTTCCTGTCAGGGAGAGATGGGGTGGGGAGGTTACTGGTGGAGTGAGGGAGAGCCAGAAGAGATTACATATAGAGAGAAAGAGGCAGTTTCATTAAACAAAGGTACTTTTCAACGGCCTGTTACCAAATTATAGAGAAGAAATATCAACGTGGCCGCTATCAGCCTGCGGACCCTGCATGCAAGGTAGCCTACCCTAGAGCCCCCCTCCTCAGCACAACTGGCAGTTACCTGGTATATGAATGGTAAGTACATTCACACATGCAATAAACTTCCATGCTTAGATATGGTTTGTGAATGATGTGTAACATCGTAGTTACATGTTAAACACGGCAAATACACTACCGTACTTTACGTCCTTTACATATACAACAAAGCCACATTCCATTGTAGTGAGAGATAAACGTGAAGGAAGGAGAGAATACTCAGAGAGTGATGGGTATGGAGAAGGAGGCTACTCAGAAAGTGATGGGTATAGAGAGGAAGGTTACTCAAAGAGTAATGGGCATGGAGAGGGAGGCTACTCAGAAAATGATGGGTATGGAGAGGGAGCCTACTCAGAGAGTGATGTGTAAAGAGAGGGAGGCTACTCACAGAATGAGAGGGGACTGAGAGGGAGACACCTCATGTAGAGAGGGTGTGAGAGAGAAACTGTTCAGGAGATGTGAAGAAATGTGACGTGCTGGAAAGTGTGATGTGTAGGGATGTGTGGTGCAGAAAAGTGTGATGCGTGTGGATGTGTGGTACAGGGAAGTGTGATGGGGTGGTACAGGGGAAATGTGATGTGTGGTGCAGGGAAGTGTGATGTATCCATAGGGAAGTGTGATGTGTGGTACAGGGAAGTGTGATGTGTGGTACAGGGAAGCGAGATGTATCTACAGGGAAGTGGATGTGTGGTACAGGGAAGTGTGATGTGTGGTACACGGAAGTGTGATGTGTGGTGCAGGGAAGTATGATGTGTGGTACAAGGAAGTGTGATGTGTGGTGCAGGGAAGTGTGACGTGTGGTACAGGGAAGCGAGATGTATCTACAGGGAAGTGTGATGTGTGGTACAGGGAAGTGTGATGTGTGGTACACGGAAGTGTGATGTGTGGTGCAGGGAAGTATGATGTGTGGTACAAGGAAGTGTGATGTGTGGTGCAGGGAAGTGTGACGTGTGGTTCAAGGAAACGTGATGTGTGGGGCTGGGAAGTGTGATGTGTGGTACATTGAAGTTTTGATTTTGTGGTACAGGAAGTGTGATTTTGGTACAGGGATGTTGAGGTGTGGTGAAGGGAATGTGATATGTGGGGACAGGTGTTGTGATGAGTGCACAGGGAAGTTTGATGGTAGTATAGGGAAGTGTGATGTTGGTACAGGGAAGTGTGATGAGTGGTGCAGGGAAGTGTGATGTGTGGTACAGGGAAGTGTGATGTGTGGTACAGGGAAGTGTGATGTGTGGTACAGGGATGTGTGAGGTGTGGTGAAGGGAAGTTGATGAGTAGTGCAGGGAAGTGTGGTGTGTGGAGTAGGGGAGTGTGATGTGTGGTACAAGATGTGTGATGTGTGGTGCAAGGGAAATGTGATGTGTGGTGCAGGGAGTGTGATGTTTCATGCAGGGAAGTGTGATGTGTGGTACAAGGAAGTGTGATTTGTGGTGCAGGGGAAATGTGATTTGTGGTGCAGGGGGAAATGTGATGTATGGTCCAGGAAAGTGTGATGTGTGTCCAGGAAGTGTGATGTGTGGGAGTAGGGGAGTGTGATGTGTGGCGCAAGGAATTGTGATGTGTGGGCAGGAAAGTATGATGTGTGGGACAGGGATGTGATGTGTGGTACAGGGAAAGTAAAGATGTGTGGGACAGTGGAGTTTTGATGTGAAAGTCAAAGTGTGATGTGTGGGACAGGTAAGTGTGATGTGTGGTGCTAGGAAGTGTGTGTGAGGTGGGAGGGGAAATGGTGATGTGTACTTAGGGATGTCTATGTGTGGTGCAGGGAAGTGTGATGTGTGGTGCAGGGAAGTGTGATGTGTGTTGCACGGAAGCGTGATGTGTGGTACAGGGGATTGTGATGTTTTATGCAGGGAAGAGTGATGTGTGGTACAGGGAAGTGTGATTTGTGGGGCAGGAAGTGTGATGGTGGGGGGGCAGGGAAGTATGATGTGTGGTACAGGGGAGTGTGATGTGTGGTTTAGGGAAGTATGATGTGCAGTACAAAGGAGTGTGATGTGTGGTGCAGTGAAGTGCGATGTATGGTACAGGGAAGTGTAATGTGTGGTGGGAGGGAAGTGTGATGTGTGGTGCAGGAAATGTGATGTGTGTACAAGGAAGTGTGATGTGTGGTGCAGGGAAGTGTGATGTGTGGTACAGGGAAGTGTGATGTGAGGTACAGGGAAGTGTGATGTATCTACAGGGAAGTGTGATGTGCGGAACCGGCAGGTGTGATGTCTGTTGCAATGAAGTGGGATGTGTGGTGCAGGGAAGTGTGATGTGTGGTGCAGGGAAGTGTGATATGTGGTACAGAGAAGTTTGATGTGTGGTGCAGGAAATTGATGTGTGGTGCAGGGAAGTGTGATGTTTGGTGAAGGGGGAAAGTGATGTGTGGTTGCAGAGGATATGATGTGTGGTGCAGGGGAGTGTGATGTGTGGTGGGAGGAGAATATGAGTGTGGTGCCGGGAAGTATGATGTGTGGTGCAGGGAACTGTGATGTGTGGTGCAGGGAAGTGTGATGTGTGGTGCATGGGTGTGTGATGTGTGGTTCAGGGGAATGTGATGTGTGGTGCCGGGAAGTATGATGTGTGGTGGCCCGGGAACTGTGATGTTGGTGCAGGGAAATGTGATGTGTGGTGCAGGGAAGTGTGATGTGTGGTGCATGGAAGTAGATGTGTAGTGCAGGGAAGTGTGATGTGTGGGCAGGAAGTGTGATGTGTGTACAGGGATGGTGAGGTGTGGGGAAGGGGAAGTGTATGAGTAGTGCAGGAAGTGTGATGTGTGGGGTAGGGGAGTGTGATGTGTAGTACAAGGATGTGTGATGTGTGGTGCAGGGAAGTGTGATGTTGTAAATGAAGGGGCTGATGTGTGGTGCAGGAACGGTGATTTTGTTGTGGTATAGAGAAGTGTGATTTTGTGCTACAGGGCTGTGTGATGTTTTGGTGCAGGGGAGTGTGATGTTTCATGCAGGGAAGTGTGATGTGTGGTACAAGGAAGTGTGATTTGTGGTGCAGGGAAGTGTGATTTGTGGTGCAGGGAAGTGTGATGTATGGTCCAGGAAAGTGTGATGTGTGTCCAGGGAAGTGTGATGTGTGGAGTAGGGGAGTGTGATGTGTGGCGCAAGGAATTGTGATGTGTGGTGCAGGAAAGTATGATGTGTGGTACAGGGAAGTGTGATGTGTGGTACAGGGGAGTGTGATGTGTGGGACAGGGAAGTGTGATGTGTGGTGCTAGGAAGTGTGATGTGTGGTGCACGGTAATGTGATGTGTGGTGCAAGGAAGTATGATGTGTGGTAGAGGGAAGTGTGATGTGTGGTACAGGGAAGAGAGATGTATATACAGGGAAGTGTGATGTGTGGTACAGGGAAGTGTGATGTGTTGTACAGGGAAGTGTGATGTGTGTTGAAATGAAGTGTGATGTGTGGTGCAGGGAAGTGTGATGTATCTACAGGGAAATGTGATGTGTGGTACACGGAAGTGTGATGTGTGGTGCAGGGAAATGTGATGTGTGGTACAGAGAAGTTTGATGTGTGGTGCAGGGAAATGTGATGTGTGGTGCAGGGAAGTGTGATGTGTGGTGCAGGGGAATGTGATGTGTGGTGCAGAGGAGTATGATGTGTGGTGCAGGGGAGTGTGAAAGTTGGTGCAGGAGAATATGATGTGTGTGCCGGGAAGTATGATGTGTGGTGCAGGGAAACTGTGATGTGTGGGGGCAGGGAAGTGGATGTGTGGTGCATGGGGGTGTGATGTGTGGTTCAGGAGAATATGATGTGTGGTGCCGGGAAGTATGATGTGTGGTGCAGGGAACTGTGATGTGTGGTGCAGGGAAGTGTGATGTGTGGTGCAGGGAAGTGTGATGTGTGGGGCATGGAAGTATGATGTGTAGTGCAGGGAAATGTGATGTGTGGGGCAGGGAAGTGTGATGTGTGGTACAGGGATGTGTGAGGTGTGGTGAAGGGAAGTGTGATGAGTAGTGCAGGGAAGTGTGATGTGTGGAGTAGGGGAGTGTGATGTGTGGTACAAGGATGTGTGATGTGTGGTGCAGGGAAGTGTGATGTGTAGTGTAGGGAAGTCTGATGTGTGGTGCAGGGAACGGTGATGTGTTGTGGTATAGAGAAGTGTGATGTGTGCTACAGGGCTGTGTGAAGTGTGGTGCCCGGGGAGTTTTGATGTTTCATGCAGGGAAGTGTGATGTGGGTAAAAAGGAAGTGTGATTTGTTTGGGGCAGGGAATGTGATTTGTGGTGCAGGGAAGTGTGATGTATGGTCCAGGAAAGTGTGATGTGTGTCCAGGGAAGTGTGATGTGTGGGGTAGGGGAGTGTGATGTGTGGCGGGAAGGAATTGTGATGTGTGGGGCAGGAAGTATGATGTGTGGTACAGGGAAGTGGGGATGTGTGGTACAGGGGAGTGGATGTGTGGGACAGGGAAGTGTGATGTGTGGTGCTAGGGAAATGTGATGTGTGGTGCACGGTAATGTGATTTTGTGGTGCAAGGAAGTATGATGTGTGGTAAGGAAGTGTGATGGTGGTACAGGGGAAAAGAGATGTATATACAGGAAGTGTGATGTGTGGTACAGGGAAGTGTGATGTGTTGTACAGGGGAAGTGTGATGTGTGTTGAAATGAAGTGTGATGTGTGGTGCAGGGAAGTGTGATGTATCTACAGGGAAATGTGATGTGTGGTACACGGAAGGGGATGTGTGGTTTCAGGGAAGTAGATGTGTGGTACAAGGGAATGTGATGTGTGGTACAAGGAAGTGTGATGTGT